AAATTTTAAAAATCAGTTAATTTTTTTTTTTTTCCAGTGGCCTTAATCCTCTTCCGCAGGATTCAATGGTCAGGGTCAGATTAATGAAAATGATTAATTTCCTCACAGCTTCATGCTCACTGTGGCCATCTAGTGGCATAAATACCCTACAGATAAAAGTCTTTATGTCTGAACTGGTCTGAGGATGATGATTTAAATACGATGACCTAAAGTGGTTGGATTACTGTTAACCCTGCGGGTCTGTGTAACAAAGATGGAGATAAAAGTAGAGTTCATCCGACCCGAAGCTGCTTTCTAACCGACTCCAAAGTTCTGCTCAGACCCAAATCCTGTCTGGGAGAAACCAGTCAGTTCTTCTGGGCCCCCCCGTCTCCAGCTCGACATGAACAGTTTAAAACCATTAAAGATGGCTGCCACTTTTAGCCTAATGTCAAGGCAGGAAGCTTAGAGCTCATCTTCAGCCTGAACAGACCTGATTTAGGAGGTCAAAGGTCACGACAGGGAACCCAGAGAGGAGAGAACCAGAGAGGTAAGGCGGTGGAGTGAGGGCGATCCGGACTGGTTCAGCCGTGCATCCTGATTGCCTCCCTGGATGCTAAAAGCTGAGGATCCGTCCAAACCTCAACTAGAAAGCTGCTGCTGGTTCTAGTTTTGTTTGTGGGCTCAGAGCTGACCCAAAAGAACGCCATCATCTTTTGGACTCATTTTCCCTGCTTCATCTTTTCCTCCTCTCCTTCCTTTCCTTTCCTGCAGGAAACTGGGGTCTCCCCGGTTCTGCTTGGTTCTCCCCGGTTCTGCTTGGTTCTCCCCGGTTCTGCTTGGTTCTCCCTGGTTCTGCTTGGTTCTCCCCGGTTCTGCTTGGTTCTCCCCGGTTCTGCTTGGTTCTCCCCGGTTCTGCTTGGTTCTCCCCGGTTCTGCAGACTAACCCGACTTCCTTAATTCTTTATTTTCTTTTTGTATTGGACAGAGCGGCTGGAGCCCCTGGATGCCGGTCATCGCAGCGATGGTCGCCGTGACAGCAGCTTTCCTCTACCCCAACCTGCCTAAGAGCGGCTCCGCCTGAGGCGAGGATGGCGGCTCCGCCTGAGGCGAGGANGGCGGCTCCGCCTGAGGCGAGGATGGCGGCTCCGCCTGAGGCGAGGATGGCGGCTCTCTTATTTGTAAAAAGCCTGTTTGTACATATTGTAGTGGGAACGGTCGCGGTTCCTGCTGGACTTGGATACTTCCTGGTTTATTTTTTGGGAGTTTTGTCATTTTTATTCTCTGCTCTGTCTGGGTGATGGTGGGGGGGGGGTGGCTGAGCTTCCTGGTTATTAAATTTAAAAAGGCTGGAGTTGATGCAGCAGAGGGGAACCTTTCACGCAGCCTGGCTGCACTCAGGAGGATCTTCATCACCTTCAGTTCTTCGCTTTTCCATGTATTTATAGAGAAAACTTCAGCTGACGTTATTTCCTCACTCCAATGATCCGACCTCTAACACTAGCGGGCCTGAGGCGGGTGGGCTGAGGGCGCCGCCACGTAGCGGACCAGATCCAGAAGCTGCTGGGAAGTGAAGTCCTGCTCTGCTTCCATCTCCTCTCTTGGTTTGCAAAGAAACTCTGAAGCCAAATGATTAAAACTCAGATTCCTTCAGTTATTCGGTGGTGGGGCGGGTGAGGGGGGGTTAAGTGCCTCTTATGTAACAAACCAAATCCAAGGAATCGACCACAAACATGCGGGAGGCCGCCGGCGTTAAGAGTCGGGTCACATCTGTCCACAGACATCAGCTTCTCCTCGGTGATAAACTTGATCCTGAAGGTAAAATGATCAAACCAGCAAATGTTCTGCTCCTCTACAGCAGAACCAAACAGAAAATCCTGATCGGCTTTTTAAAAGGACAGAAGGTCCCACAGATCAGAGTAGAATTCCTCAGAGTTTGTTCTTCATCGCGGAGCAGGAACCTGAGAAGAACCGACGCCGTGAAGCTGCAGATTACAGAAGATCTGAAAAAGGGAACTCGGTTTGTTTTGAAGCAATAATCGTATTCCTGCCAGTTTAAGCCGACCCATGAGCCCCGGCTGCTCTAAAACCTTCATCTCATCTCTTTCCTCCTTTATCTGCTTCTTCTGATTCATCCCATCGCTTTGTTTTTTATCTCCAGACCGTAAACCGTCCCAAACGGGACGTAAAATCTGCTGATGTTCTCATCCTCCGACTCTTAACACTCGGCGCCTCAGAGCCTTTCAATTATGTTCTAAGCAGAACCTTACATTTCTGAGCTTTTATGGGGTGGGGGGGGGCGGCAGCAGCATTTGTCACCGTCTGTATTTTCTGTCTCGTCTCAGTGTCGAAAATAAAACATGATTCTAATAATAAAAGACAGCGAACAAATATTCCTGATGTTTAAAGAGGAAAAACACTAAAGGTTCAGAGAATTGTAAAATAAAAGGTTAATGAATGATGTGCGACTAGAATTATTTTTGTTTGAATTGTTTAGAGTGAAGAGAGGCAGATCTGTTGTAGAGAAAATGATGTTATTGAATATATGCAGAGAAATGTTTTGGATTAAAGTTGTAGCAAAGCTGACTCACCACTCCGGCCTGTCGCCTCTTTAATCGCCAACGTTTCATTAATTCCTCTCCTTAGGGACTGATGCAGTGTTTTAACTTTATTTATCTTTAGGTGTCCAAACAACAAAGTATCTCCAAGCTTTAAATGATGCCAGATCTCACTGCACAGAATTCAAATCTTTGGGAGGTTAAAGCTGACGTGGGATTCATTGGAAATCCAGGCTGGTTAAAAGTTTTAAAACCAAGCAGCTCTTTAAAAGCTGCACCTGAAAGAAGAAACAAACCTCTGCAGCAGAGATGTGACCGTAGGGAAGAAGTTTGCTGCTGCACGGTGGTGGAAGGGTCATGCTTTTGCTGTCTGTAAATTTAATCACGCTGAAGAAAAGGTGAAGTTTGTCCCAAACTGGGGCAAGGCTGTTCCAGAACAAATAAACCGATCCAGATTGGTATAAAGAAAGGGCATTTATGTGAAATCCATATTCAGTTCGGCTGGTTAACCACCTTAGAACAAATCATGAAACCTTATATTTATAACTTATTGTACTGTAACATTTATGGCTAGACTTAAATTCAATTCAATTTTCTTTTAAATCGCCAATTAACAACATGTCATCTCAAAGCACTTTACCATTCAACCAGATAATGCAGCCAGATTGATAGATTGAGATCTCTAGCTAAGAAAAAACCTGTTGATTGCATTAACTCGTTGACTTGGAAGGCAATCCCTCACACTAAGCATGCTTGAAGTGACAGTGGGGAGGAAAAATTCCCTTTTAACAGGAAGAAACCTCTTCCAGGCTCAGTGTGAGCGGCCATCTGCTGAGGCCAACTGGGGTTCAAGGAGACGGAAGCAAACATAGAAAAAGAAGCATAGATACAAAAGGCAACTGTAAACCAGCCCCGTCCAGGAAACACAGGCAGCCAAATGAGCTCTGTGCCTGCTCCCATGTCAGGATGAAGAGAGCACATCCAGCCAGGAAAACAGGCCCATCTCAGACAACAAGGCAAACCTA